GGGAAGCACTTATTCCACTGAGCCATCTCCCCGGCCCCTCTGACCCTGGGAAGGCACACGCAAAGCTCACGACGCCTCCTTTGTAAAGCAGTGCCCTAAGCAGCGAGGTGGCCTTTGATGCGCCACACATGCACATGGTGCAGCTATTTCTGCTTACTATCTGTGGACATCCGCTGCAGCTGCCTTCACAGCCTATCAGTCTGCGCCCCAGGACGGTGCCCTCTTGGGCTCCTGTCCCTCTCCTGTGGTTCTCCTTGGCCAGTCTTCCCAGACCCAGAGCAGCCCTGGTCCTGGCTCTGAGCCTGGGGCAGTGGCCCCCCAGCACCCACTGTCCTGGGCCTGGTCAGTGAGCCGAGTGGGGCCACAGGTGTGACAACAGGTGAGCTGTCTCCTGGAAATGGTTCCACCTCGTGGGTCTGGCGACCCAGTGGTTCTGCAGCTTTGTTCCGTCCAGGCCCTCTCCTCCCTTCCAGCCCAAGCTCCACGAAGGCCCACAGGAGAGCACCCGCAGCCCTCTGTGCACACTACGCTGTACTCTCCTGCCCCTGCTGGGGCCCCAGGCCCGGATGTCCTCAGTCTGTGCTGCACTTGTTCTAATGTGTTACACACATTTATCAGCTTTAGACCAGATCTGAGCAACACACCACATCAAAGACACAGCCTGCTCCAGTGAAGAGACTACCGCACACATGCAGCGCGCACGCCTAAGTCGGTGGTGCTAGCACACTCCTAGGTGACTAAGAGCTGGCAAGAGGAGAGCTGGCCGCTAGGACTGAGTCAAGTCACAGTGCGGGAGGACGTTAACGTTTTTAAAGGACGTCATCTTCTTCCCCAAAAGACAGATGCATATGTATACACACATAAATACAAGCATATCTTTTTTTTTCTTTCTTTTTTTTTTTACGTGTGTGTGTGTGTGTGTGTGTGTGTGTGGCCAGCTCAGCCCACCAGGGGGCGGGGCTGCCTGGCATGTGGTGCTGGGGATTGAACCGCCGTCTCTGTGCTTTGCTAAACTTGTTCTAAGTAGGTGCTTTAGACCACTGAGCCATCTCACCAGTCCCCAAGCATATCTTTATGTATTTATTTTTTGAGTACCCAGAATGAAACTCAGGATCTTGTACTTGCCAGGCAGGCGTTGAGGCACCGAACTATCTTCCTGGCCCTGGTCCATATATACATATATAGTTTCATTAAAAATGCTAAAAGGATCCTTCAGTAACACCTTATCTGCCTTGATGTCTTCCTGCTCTGACAGCCAGTGATTTGGAGGACAGAAGCTTCTCCTGGTGTCTCTGGACTTCAGCATTTTCACTAGGTTGGTGATAACCTGGAGAAAGAGAACAGGAAGACGTCACACGCTGCTCAGCAACCACGCAGTGCATGGTGAGGGCCACCACAGTCAGGTGCCGAGGTTCTTGGTGCTGGGATGGGGCGTGACTCCTGCATGTGCCTGGAAGGAAATGGGACTCAGGACTCCCCCCATGCAGCCCCGCAAGGGCCCACTCTCGAGAGCCTACCACCAACACAGCCAGCAAGTTGAGGAAAGGTAACTCGTGTATGTGCACACATGATGGGTTTGCTACGCAGTTTAGGCTGGCCCTGAGCTCACGTAGCCCAAGGCTGGTCTCAAACTCGTAACAATCTTCCTGCCTCAGCCTCCCAAGTGAGTGCTGGAATTACCACCACATGCCCGGCCCTCTCATTTTTTGCACATTTTTTTTCCCTTTATGCAGTACCTGGGACTGAACTTGGGACCTTGTGCTCGCCAGACAGGCACTTATGCCACTGAACTATCTCCCCCGTTCTGCGGCTTTTTTTTTTTTAA